TTAACTATCACTGTTTGTTTCCAAACAAAATAAAATATAATCCTTCATGGCCGAGTAGTTAGTATACTGGTTTTTAAATATCGCCATCTCTGACTCGAGTTCGATTCCCGGTCGGAGAAAATGTAGAAAATTTTAAGTGTATATGTATTTCCTTATTACAAGTTCATGATTATTTTAGCTTATTTAATTAATTTTGGATGAAACTTTTTTTTAAATCGAGCTCCTGAAAATTAAGACGTCTTTATGTCCTTCTTATGTTGGATGGGCTACCTATATCTTGAGGTTTAAAAGTCGTGTTTAAATTATAAAATTTTATAGAAAATACTGTAAGTGATTGCTAAAAATAAACGTTCATTATAATTTCTATATATTGTGGAGTTATCCGTCTAACTAACCATTCTACTAATGTGGGCTGGACTCAGTTTGTATGCAAGTACCTACATCTAGTACAATTGTAGTTGTTGTTTAGTCTGACTTCAAGGCCATTTAAGACTTAGCATAAAGACAAAAATCGCGCTTAACTAATTTCAATGAATATATAACAATTTCCATTTTTATTTTAATCAATTTTCTCTATAATAAAAGTTTAGTGACGAGAAGGAAAAGAAAAAATGCGTTTTGACTACGACAGAACTCAAAAAAATCAGATGTATGTAGTTTTTTTCATTACGTCACATTACAGCTTCGGAAGTTTGGACAGGTTGTCTTTGTCAATCGCTGTCAAATTGACATTTGAAAGATATTAACAAATTTCACGCTAAAAATATTTGACATATGATAGCGATTGCAATTCTTTTTAATCTATTGAATGAAATATAACAGCAATTTATCATTAATTCGTATTGTTTAAGGCAAGCGTTAGACGCAATTATCTTTGAAAGCTATTAAGAAATTTCACACGAAATGGTACCTGAAAAAAATAGGTTATGATAAGTTTTTATCAATATTTTGATCATTCAAATTATCCTTTGTTTCAAAAGTGATTGCTTTAGCATTAGACAATTCGACTACCTATTTGAACGTTATTTCTTTGTACAAAAGCTTTTCAAAGACAGTTTTTTTTAATACATATAAAGCTTTTTTGCTTATTTGTTTCTTGAAGCATGGCTTATTTTGTAAAACACATATATAGTGTTGAAATAGAAAGGCCACAATGGTTTCTTCACAGCGGAATTCGGTCCGCTTCCGCACAGCGCCCACTAACTAGATCGAGAACTATAGTTCTTACTGATAGACACGAAGGTCGAATATATTGTCATTTTTCTTTACTTATTCACACCTACTTGTAGTAAAGCCTGCTAGATGTACAAACCTGTCGATCGTACACCCACTTTTTTATTGAAATTCCTTGTTGAACTACTCTACTAAACCAAGGTACCCAATAAAGTGTGATTCTAAATTATATTTTTTGCTATGCTATAAATACAACTTTACTCTTGATGTATTTTTGAATATGTAATTGACTTTTTTACTTACGTGGGAGTTAGAATATATGACTTATCTATTTCGAGCATATAATACTTAAGTGCCTCTTTAGCATTCTATACTCAAAACTGTCAACGGGTGTCAATAATTTTATCAATATGCCATTGCTGTCTGGCTGCCTGTCGGTCTTTTGAACCGTAATAAAATCTTATACCTAAACACAAGTGTGTAGTATAACATTTAAACTATTCTTACTTAGATCCTGAAAATATTCTCAATATTTAAATAGCACTCATGAAAAAAGATAGTAAAAGTGACCGGAAAACATAATTAAGGTTAACATCATGCAGTACTAACCCTTTGTGTACCAGTTCCAATTTATGACGTCATATTATCCAAATGAATAGCTCGTTATATCTATACATTTACTATCCTTGTTATTTAATAACACTCATCGAATACTGCCCATTCGCCCATAATGACATGCGTGATATTAATCGAGATTCAATTGTATCAGAATAGGACACACTCGCGCTTACTCTGTTTAACTTTTATCATTATAATCTGTGGCGTTGTGCATTTAGCGCGGACCTGGATAGCAAGGTCGGCCGTGCGGTCAGTGACAGCGGCTGGTGGTGAGCTATTAACACCCAACCGCGGGGTTTCCGCTCAGCCTGTAAACGCTCCGTTGCACCTCAATGTTATTAATTAACATTCACGACTCCAATCAAGCTGTAGATCACTAGATAAATAAAATAGGCACTCGTGTTACTTGCATGCTTCGAAGAATGCCCATGTGACGTAAGGCAACGTTCTTTATCTATTATAATATTAACATACAAATGTGTTCGTTATTTGAATTTAGATATTATGAACACTACATAAATCAAAACGTTTTGCAACATTGGTATATAATAAGTTAATAGGTAGTACCATAAACTTTAAGCTTTATGTGCTTAGGTAGTCTGAAAAACAAAAGTTATTTGCTTTGATCAGACATCTTATTTCCATAATTCTCGAAGACTACAAATATAACAACGTTATTTAAAATCGAACAAATAATTCGATTATTTGTTCGATTTTAAAGTATTTTTATTTGCATTATCATAGGGGAACAAAAGACTGCGGAATTTTAACCCAAATGCTCGTTAAAGACGGCACGCACACCAAAATATAGTTCATACTATTTATACCTATAGGAAATACTAAAAACGGTCAAACGATTCATATACCACATTAATTTTTTTTATGAAAAAGTAGATTTAAAAAAATAATTTAATTAATCGACGTCACAGAGTACGAAATTATTCTTAGTAAATATGTTGAAGATGGAACTTCTTCAGCCTTCCAACTATCTTGTACAAACAATAATCGTGCAGATGAAGTTCTTCTATTGGGAGATAACTAAGAATTAACGAAACTTAATTTCTCAATCAAAATAAAGGAAATTAATGATAAGTATAGACTTTTGTAATTTCTATAAAAATCTATCAATTTTCAAGGAGCTCGATTGGGTCGTGAAAAGCGCGCTTGGCTTGCGTTCAGTTATTAAGCAACTTTCACAATTGCCAATCATAGGATGGGTGACCAAAAAATTATTATCTCGAGCTCCTCCTTGGTTAAGCTAGTCCCAGTTGCATCTGCAGTCGTAAACATTCACCAACCCGCACCGGGCCCGTGTGGTTGATCTTGGTCCATATTCCCAATAAGATTCATTCGATTCCATCCATAGGGAATGCATGAGCCTCAGCAGAGGGGACATTACTAAGCTGATGATGATGACGATAAAAACTTAATTTCTCAATGAAAGCAAAGAAAATTTATATGATCTATTGAACACTTCAGATTTTCTATAAAAATCTATCAATTTTAAACAAAAAGAATTGATCCTTGATTTTAAATAACAATCTAGGTTAAGCCGCGGGTGGAAAGCTAGTTCTATATAAAATTATTTCATTCAGATAATCCTACGCCAATTTATTTAATATAAACAAGTAGTCCAAACACGTTTCTATGTAAGGTTTTAGTCCTCTAGTGATAAAGGATGTTAATTGTATATACCTTTTACGCCGTCTCAATATTTATGTGAATTTTAAGCTTTTAATCATCTTTGGTATTAATCAATAAAGTAACAGAATCGTTATGTTATGAATGTGAAATATCCAAATAACGACAACGAAGGTTTATCCATACCAAATTAAAATATTACAAGTTACCCAATTAAGAGACATGCGCAAGATAAAAAACATTTTGGGCGAAACAACTATGCGCCGATTGGATTTGATGAATCAATCTCAAATAGTATTTAACAATCCAATGCAATATCCTCAATTAACAACATCCGCAATATCAAAACAAATGTAAACTAAATCGTGTCTTATCCAGAAAAAAATAAATCACTTAACTATACTACTTCGTATTAACAATAAAAAAAATTGTCGAAAGAACTCATGTGTGTAGGTATATTCAAATACCTATTTGCTATGGTGTTATTTGCTCCAATTTAAAAAGAGACATGAAACAATAAAATCAATTAATGGTATTTCTGCTTAATCAAACAATGATATTTTCGGTTTTCAATTATAAATATTAATAATGCCTCTTGATAATGCTGTTCTATATAAGTTGCCAAAGGAAAGTTGGTATTGCGCCAACATTCAAAAAGCCTATCATACTTATACAAACTACATCATACGCGGGTCATAGCTATTACTTACGCGACGAAGTTGCTGAAAAATTGCTAGTCTTTTCATAGATTCACAAAAGAATATTATGAATTGAGCAAAGACAAATAATAGATCATTAGAAATGGAAAATAAAGTGAAAAAACTGTATTGAAAGTATTCGCCAGTGATATTATTCCAACCTATGTTTTCTGACAATAAAATTTCATTAAAATCCAAACACATGGAATATTCATCCGGCTTTTGATAGATATGCGACCATTGTTTCACTGCTATAGTTCAGTCGGCGACACAACCAGTTTCGCATATTTCGCAGGTCAGGCTGGCACATTAACTTTTTACTATAACATACAGTTGATATCCGTCTGGCTACGCCTTGCACTCCTCTTATCCGGAACTCTTTACATATGAAAAATACATATTTTGCCATATAAGGATAACGTAAATTTTAAACTTATCATGTAGGCACTCTATTTATTAAATTATAGTTTGTTCAATGACAAAGATAAAACCAATAAATAACGTTTTTTCTATGGAACTGAATATGGAATTCAATGAAATGGAATCTTCAACTAATAACTTTAGCATAATTATTACTATAATAGAATAAAGAATAATAAAAATGTGAAACTTACAAATTAATTTTTAAAATATTGAGTTTTATGAATCGACAAAGAGATCCATAGGAAAAAAAAAGTATTTCATTAACCAATCAAAAAATATGTTACACTTTATAAATACGTAGCTGTCTTAATTCATTAAAATTGAACGAACATATATTTACTTTATTAAATTTTACTTGATAAAAATATACCATCAGATAATAGAGATATTATCGGATATTGTCATTAATAAACATATCTTGATATATTACTTTTTGTTATTTTTCAGATCGTGCAATGTGCTCTCGTTGCTACGAGGCCAACGCAGACTCTGAAGGGAGATGAAGCCACATTTCATAGACACAATTATGATGCTCAAAATAAACCAAATGATGAAAAAGATGAACAAGTGATATCTGTAAGGATTACCTCATCTATAGCAGTGGGACGGAGCAATGCTAAACTAGCCCACAAAGTACATAGTAGTAATGTTGAATCAATTCTCAACAGTCCAGAGTCAACAAATTTAGAAAGTAACAAAAATACTTATGCTAATGTAGAAAATGAAACCAAAACGTCAGAAATACCGCCAAAATTTATAGGAGCAAATATAGAATTCTTAAAACAACTCAATGCTAAGAAAGACGCACAACAACACAATACAGACCAAGTCCATCCTTTTCAAATGAGAGTTGAAGGTCAATTTCCTGAATATAATAATAATCAATTTGATTCAAACGCTGCAGAAAAAGATAAAATAAAATTCGAGAATGAACAGCCTAAAGACTCTTTAGCTGAAGAGTCGTTACAAGTTAATTCGTTCGAAACAAGTAGTGATATCCTCCGAGCTGTCCCAGCATTACAGTCTGTGGAAAAAATACGAACTGATAGGTTACTGAAACAGGTCGGAAATAAAATGTTTCATCATAACTCCGAATTTAATACGAAAAGTAACGAAACTTATGACACCATTGCCGAACCATCAAACAAATCGATACTTACAATCACGAATCAGAATGACGAGATTGAAAACGAAAATATAGAAAATGTTCCTCTAGCAAGATCGGTATCTCATACACCATCTTCGAGAAACTATATTCAAGGTCATAAACACGTATCGCCTGGTGAAAGGGGGAACAGTCCGAGCTTGACGACTGTCAGTTTTAATGTAGTGCACGACACACCTAACCAGTCTAATAGTTTCAATAATGAACCTAGTAACACATTTGTTAAAAACAATGATGAGCCGCACAAATTGTATGATCCGCCTAAAGTATACAGTGAACCAGCAAAAATTTATAGTGAGCCAGCAAAATTTTACAGCGAACCCGCAAAAATTTATAGCGAGCCAGCGAAAATTTATAGTGAACCAGCCAAAATATACAGTGAACCAGCTAAAATTTACAGTGAACCTGCTAAATTCTACAGTGAACCAGCGTCCCTTCATTTAGGCCCGGATCTACCGAATTACACGCCTTGGAATAACCCTACACAGAGCACTGCAATAACGAATACGCCTTGGCAAAATACAGCTCTATCTAGTTTAGTAACTTCAACAACTCCGTCTACTTTTAACACTTTATCAACGAGATTAGTAAACACTCAACACAATCAATTACCTGAGAAAAATTACGAAGTTGATGAGAAATTAAGCGTCCTTACCGATGGTCGTAGTCACGGTGTTCAAGAAACGACTACAGAAAAATGTAAGCAAGATAACTGTAAAGTCGGTTACGTGGTTGAAGGTCGACAGTATAAAAAATATAGAGTCGAAGAAAGGACACCAGATGGATTTATAGTTGGAGAGTATGGAGTGGTCCGAAATGAAGACGGGGCTCTAAGAGGCGTCCGTTACACGGCAGATAGTGACGCTAGTCCCCGCCTTATATACGATGCACTCATGAAGTTCCTACAGTTATAAAATAACCAGACCTACTCAGACTTATTTGCTCACTTTTATTACCGCCAGCTTATTTTTTTTTTTTTATTGTATACGTATGACCAGTGGCGTAACTACAGAGTGGAGCTGGAATAGGCCCCCGGTCAGAGGAGACTCCTTACTCCTGACATTTATTATTACGCAATTAGTAAAAAAATTGAATATCCGATGAATTTGTCACGGGCCTCAAACGGTATAGTTACGCCACTGCGTAAGACTGATTTATCATTTGTCCGCTTTTCAATTCATCATTAAATTTAAAAGAAAAATAATCACTTTTTATTAAATCAATCTTTCTATTTGTAAGTTTAAGCCATTTCCCTGTAAATTAATAAAACATACACTATTTAAAAAGGTTTCATTTACATTAGACAAACGCTAATAGCGATTATAATATTATTGTATCAATCATTTACATTTAAAGATAGGGATAAGCTCAATCTTTTGGGAGTTGTTATAATAATGTTGTACTCTTTTGGGAGTTTCAAGTGATAATTAAAATAGTGCTGTGCCATGTTCAGTTAAATAGACAAATATTGATTTTAATTACGTATTAATATTATTGTAACAGATGTACTCGATTACTGGACGTTAAGAAGCTTGATGTAAGTGGTGTAAATAAATAATGTACATAAATCGATAAAATCTACTATGACGCGAATTTCTTTTACACTCCTAGAACATTAAATAATATTGTAAAATAAGTAAGTAGTTTTATTTAACGTGTTTAAAATCTTGCTAATTATTTTGCAATATTATGGTCATACACTTGTGGTGATGATTGTCTTTTTATCATGAGGTCTGAACGAAAAGGATGCATAAATAATTGAACGATCAATAAAATGAAATTAAGGTCAAATCCAGTCATTGATACTATAAGATGTTGTGGTTTTTAGTGTTAAATGTATTGTTAGAAATTCGGATGAATATTAATTAATTTTTCATTTAACTCCATTTAGTTTTTAGAATATTAAAGCAATTTCTTTGTAATTTGGAAATAGACAAACTGGAATTACTCTTTCTATGAGATATACATACTTGTATGTTATATGATTTAGGTAGGTTGCAATGACAAAAAGTAACAAATGTTATATCCAATTTTGAATCTTAAATTTTGGTTTACAGAGCTTTTTCATAAGTGATTGTTATAGAATAATACTATTTATATGGATATTAAATTAATGAGAAGAATATGTAGAACCTCAAAAATTCAATTAAATTATAATTAAAAAAAAGAAAATATTCTTTTCTACTTTAGCGCTAGTGTGCTGTACTAAGCATATGGTTTGGAAGGATAAATAAAAACGAGAGGTTTCTTTTAAATTAAATTATTATTCTTATCATCGCCTATTATTAATTGTAACATTTAAATATATAGATTAAACATGTTTAGATCGTAGTAGTTGCCTTAAAGCTAATTCTAACAATAACATTTCATTTTGTTCAACTTTGCAATATTAATACCAAATAACATTATTTTATTTGAGTTTTGCACATTTTGCAAACTAGTACTGTGCTAGTACGTAAAAATACAACACTAATCAGTGATTCAACCAACCTCAAAGGTGATTATGCAACATCAAAATTATTAACAATTCCTTCTTTTGATAAAGCCTACTTCCATTTAAGCCATATTAGAGCCAGTTGTGATTACCTTAATATAAAAATCATAAAAACATCTCTCTTCGTTTGTTGAAAAGACAAACAGTAATTAAATTTTAATGCAAAGTAGGAATTCCTGAAACACTATTGAGTAATTGATAAAATATCTTTGCTTAGAAGCAAAAACTTTGAAACAACATAGGTACTTTATGCTAACAATATTGTTTTTTTTTGTTATCATATTACTTTATATAGCATAACCAACATCTGCTTTCTTCCTCCTTTATTCACATCAAATAAGTAAATATATTTCATAAAGTAATAATTCATAAAGTAAGTATTGTAGTTGCAGTAAAATATCTAAATGCCTATAAAAGACATTTATATATCATATTTTTTTGTAAATTTACGACAAAAGAATGAAACGCGTTTTTTTTTCAGGACAGTTATAATAACATGTATACGTTATTTCTAACAATGAAGCGTGCTATGTGAATTCTGCGTGTGATAAACTGTACTAATTATAAAACAAAGTCGCTTCCCGCAGTCTGAATGCTGACATTTTTTATACTCCACAACCAATTTTAATGAGGTTTTAATCAATAGACAGAGTGATACGAGACGAAGTTTTATGTGTACCTAATACAGGACAACGCGGGCGAAGCCGCCGGCGGGAAGCTAGTTGTTGATAAATTTAATGCATCATAATTAGTATGAATAACTTCCAGCAAACTTTCCAGTTTCAAACCTGTTAACAATAAAATTTGATAGTAAACTTTTTACTTTGTAAATAAATTCAGTCGTGTTACACAAAAGGACGAGATTGTTAAAATCAATAACGATATCGAAAGTTTCAATGATTATTTTCAAAACACTTTGTGCAAAAATAGTTAACAATAATCAGTAAATGTGGAAGCACATTAAATCGATCGGATGCTATGTCTAAGATTTGTCGATCGGTAAATGCTCAGTGTAGAATAACCCTTATATCAGACAACAACCAAGATGGTTTGGCACGTTTGTATTTATAAAGATATCTAAGGAAATTAGTCGTACTCGATTTATTGAAACAAAAGAATTCTCTATGAAATTGCATATTGCAATTTTAATGTTACTCATTAGAAGCCTTTTTTATTGTGGCACGACATAGTGACTATAATATATCTGATGGAAAGAAAGAAAAGAAAAAACTATTAACAGCCCAATAATACTAATAGATGTGAAAAGTTGACACTACTACTAGTGTAGTTTTAGGCAAGTACTAGGCAAGATACTAGTGTATACTAGTGTATCTTGCCGGTTAAAAAACCCCTTCATACCTTTTTTGAAGGACTCATAATGAAGTTACACATATCAAAACTATTTAAATTAGAAATATAGGTACTATCTCTTAACATTAGGTGATGTTACTGAATTTATAATTTTGCTATGAAATTCTACATCGTCCATGCTTAATATAATCACCGAAGTCTGATATGTTTCTGTTCCTATTTCAATATGTTCCACTTTTTAATGATTTACCGACGTGCGTAGGATGACCAAATCGAAAAATGTTTGTCTACATGCAAATGTCACTATTCTTTGGTACGCCGATACAATATCTCACTCTCGACCTATGAAAAGGGATATTTGAACGCAGACAAAACGTTTATCTCATTCAAAAATCTCATCAGATTGTTTGGAAAATTCCAAATATAATAACATTTAAATCAAGAGCTTATTAGTACTCGATCGACAAATAGAGACCATCCGTGGCATGTATTCTTATTCTCTAATGATTGTATCACATCATTTTGCTAACTTATTTATAAGCTGCATTAAAAGAGCAAGAAATGTTAATCCGACTATGATCTGATCAAATAGATTTACCAAACTTGAAAGCTTAAAAGCTATAAAAGATTGCGCTCTAAAAGAATAAATATGACACAATACAATTGAAAGGTATTACAATTTTTGTTTTATTTATTCTTCTATCATCAGCCTATTAATCATTGAGGCGCAAACCTTATTATAAAATATAAAGACCATGAGAATAATAGGAGGTCGATAACGTACAAAACTGGATGTCTAATAAAAAAGATACAACAGGGACTAACAGCAAAGTGGCTACTAAATACAGAAGTGCCCAATATAATATTATAAAACTAAAAAAAAAAATATTATAAAACTCTTGATTAATTTTCAGCAGTTTCGTACGAAATGCACCATAAACATCAAATCAGGGCTCTCCAACCAATAGACTCTGCCCAGATGAGCAAGGGATGGGTGATCGAAAACGTACTATACTCAACTCCTCCGTATTTAGTCCGTTTAGCTGTTGGTTACATCTGTCTAATTGCAATTGTTATCAGTCCGCACTGGGTCCGCACTGGGTCCGCGTAGTGAGTTAGGGTTGGCTCTCCTTACTGCATTCCATTCACAAAGAAGACCATATAAGACTGATAATAATTACGATAATTGGCTATTAGTAATGCATATCGTACATAAACATCTAGTTTTTTAATGATCAGATCAAACATTTCTCATTCTGAATGCGCGTTTACACGATTACTAAGCACTACTTTTATATTCAAGAACACACTCACTTGTGATAAGTATAAACTTTAAATGCAACTCACGTGAACTACGTGCTTTTCTCATTTGTTTGATTTAAACAAAAAATAATAAAGTTAATATTATTTGAATCCATTTTAACACTTATTAACCCATATCCATGTGACATTCGGGTAATTACCTGTTCGGGTAGGAAAAAATCGGTAATATCCTGAATGCAAGTATGACGTAGAAAATATTAATATCTTTAGTAAAATATTCTTTACAATAATTCACGAAAATTGTGTGATATATATATATTGATATGTTAGAGTAATTAAAAAACCGTAAACTTTTTCTGTAAATGGTTTTCTGAGATATGCAAGGTAATTTAGTAATTGTCTATATGATTGAATATTTATTTTAATTTGGCAGACTAATGATGTATAATCAAATCTTATTTTTTTTCTTAATATTCAGAATATTGCTCCTAATTTTCAGAATATGAAAGTTATTCAGTTTTGTAGTCACATAGCTGTAATAGAAGGTAAAATATGTTTTAAACAAATAAGCGGATACCAACTTCAAAAAACAACTCAGTTTTTCGTGAGTTAATATTTAGGGACCAAATTAGGTTATCCTTTTGTATGTATATGCATTGTATAGGTCTATTTATTAATATGGACATCAAAATTGTTTATTGTCAACAATTTAACTAAATATTTATGTGAGGAAATCTAACTTTGAATACTTGATGAGCGTAATATGTTTTGCTATATAATAAAATCTTATTATTATATGAATGATAGGTATATTTTTAGAAGGTTCTTTTTTTAAGATTAAATAATACTCCTTTTAGAATTCGTTTAAAGAGATAAGGTCTATGATATGCCGACTTTAAAGAGACCAATGAAACAAAGTAATATCAAACTAAAAAAAAATAAACAGTCATGTTAAGAGTCCATTTAAAAATGAAAAGAAACGAGATAAAATAGGGCGTTCAGACGAAGAAATCGATAAACTGGATCTCAATTCTGCAAACGAAACGTTACGATGGCGTGTCAATGGAGTTGAAATATCATTTCTTTTTTACACAATTCTAATAATTCCATCAATAAATAACGAAAAATCTCTGATCGCTATGTTAAGAATATTCTTTTACGTATAAATATTGAATCGAAAGTAAAATGCCACCAAAAAAAATTTCACTGTTAGGTATATTACCCTCCAATCTACATTGGGCCAGCATGGAGGATCATGACTTATCCTTGACCATCCATATGAAAGGTATGAGCCCCTACAGTGGAGGCGTAAAAAGTCTGATGATGAAAAATATAATTAATTAACTAACAGAAAAAAATTACTATTTCATCTCGTTTCCACTTCACATTGGGTTGGGTCGGTGCGATCAAGTGTTTGCGCACTGCGGTTGTATACAGTTTATTATTTGTCAATTCCGATGTCACGTGATGGATCTTCCGTTAGATATAAACAAACTTTTATTCTCAGAGGTGCGCTACTCTGAATGCGCCCTAGTAGACTTCAGCGTTGCTATACTGTTAAAAAAGGCCTTAAACTCGACGACAAACGTACTGCTGTATAGCATGCAGGTTTGCGCACAGCGTTGCGCTCGATATCGAAAACAAGGTTATTTTTTAACAGAACAGCATAGCGAATGTTATTCTATGACATTAGAGCATTATTGTTATTTTATCAACTACAATTCCGGCATTGGCAGTGATGAATGATATTATTTTGAGTCATCTCTAAGACCTTATATAAAAAGCTAGTCGTTATAACAATGTTCCTTATTTTCTTCATTATAATTTAGGCTTCTAATACAGAATATTATCTTGAAGATAAGAGTAGAGCAAAAAAGTAAAAAAAAATCCTAAGATATGAATTGTCTTCTTTTAATTATTAAGCATCGCCAGAATTACCTGGGGGCTTCCACCAGCAGTTATTGCAATATTTAATTCGTGCAGCGAGAAGGACAGCACTATACGCAACAATAGCAGTGTCCCGCCCGCTGCACGGATTAAGCATTGCCATAAGAGCCCCTGGACAATTCTATTAAAACATGTAATATTATAATATACTAGCAGGTATGAATAAACGGTGTAGAACACTATTCTCTTATTATTTACAAAATGTTTACAATAACATAAATATTAATCTAAACTTTGAATTTGCAAGATTATAATAAATACAATAAATATAGAGCATTATTAATACTTAACATAATTTGTTTTTTTATTTGATTACAATTTTCATCCTCAAAGCGATATCTTAAAAATATGTATTAAGATACTTTTCAATACAAAACCATTCGTTGATTACGTTGGGATAAAGATGTTCTAAACATGATATCATATCATTAATTAATACCTATAAAAACTACTACGGTTCAAATTAAAAATCATCAAAAATTCTCTTGTTTGTGTACATAAATAATAAGTTGATATCGTTGAAAATTGATACACACCAATGATATTTTTATAAGAAACTTGGTCAATAAAGTGAACAAGATGAGCTTTTATATTTAGTCGTACGTCTCCGACTCTTGCTGCACCAACTTGAACCGGCGCGGGCTCTTCACAGCGATGGAACCGTGGCCGTCTAATGATAATCGCCCCTTCATCTGCAGATATCTGAAGACATAAAAACGTTGAGCCGGACGTTGTACTGCAGCTTGAAGAGCTTAAATGCAATTTCTAAAGAAACATATCACAATACAGAACAAATTCCAGAGCTATTTGTTTATGGAATCCAATGTAGTTCCCGTATGTTCGACGAGTTGCAATGCGAAGGTTAAGCATCTTTCACGATGGCCAGTCATAGGATAGGTGGCCAAAATAATATCTCCAACTTATCTATGCTTGGCATGTTAAGCAGTTTATCCCGGTAACATCTAAAGTCATTAGCACTCACCAATCCGGGCCCGCGTGATAGGTTATGGCCTATGTCCCAGCAGGGAAGACAATAATAACATGTCGTCGAAGATGGTGATGGTGATGATGAATTCGGTGAAGAACTTAAGTGGCTTAAGCGATCATAACTTACCTCTTTATGTATCGACAGACCAACTTAGTTGGCCGCTGCTGCCACTCATCTAATACTTCTTTGGGCGCCAATACCTTGAAAGATATGATACAAAAAAGTTGATAAAAGTTTTAAATAGTTATAACGGAAACAGGTCATAATAAATAGATCTTAATACTTTTTTACAACAAATTGCTATTAATTGAAATAAAGCATGTATAATGTTTCTAACTTGACGATTTTTCATGAACTGACATTCATAAAAAGCATATTGGATTACTAAAAATTTCAAGCTACGAAAGATGAATAATAAAAATAAATGATGTTGAAGATCAAAGACAAAAAGTTTGCATGCGAAAATCTAGGACGAAATAAAAGGTGGTACGACGGACGCACCGTTACAAGTGCAATCCAGCATTGGATAAATATCGATAGAGAGAAGAAGAAACTAACTTGCCGTATTCGAACTGGCCAGCAGGCCGGTGAGATATTTTTATAAGACAAATTTTTGTTGAAATATTATTCTCCAATTTTTCTTTGTTTCTTTGGTTTTTGCTGTCATGTAAATTAGCTACTTATTTTGGTTCGTATATTTTAATTATCATTTTTATTTCCTTAACTTCGTGCCTTTTCTTTTCTTCCAACTCCTATGATACTACCTATCCGTTATAACTATAATTAAAAATTATATAGCTGAAGGAAAAAGCTCTATGTAATTGAGCTACCTGAGACCGCACTATATTTCTTTAATAAATAACACTGAGAATGCGTAATAACAGGTCGGTGTTGGTTCTAAAAATTCTAACACCTTTGGTTGTCATGATTTACCTGATCTCCTTTAAGCCTGTCTAGCAGTGTGACGCATACGACGGCGGCCTTGATGCCCGCCTGATGAGTGAGGGCCGCAAACGCTAGCGACTCCATTTCGATATTAACAACACCTGCCTTGTATATATTCTCTAAATACTCCATCTTGTCTGCCTCTGTGAAGTCACAAAACGCTCCATCCAATCGACCTTGACCTGGAAGATGTGAATAGTTTAGAGAGAACGTAAAGAGAAAAGACTATCTGTATATATCATTGCGGAGACAGATAGAGACAGATAATTGCGAATAAGCTACTTGACTAGTCTCCCACAAGTGACCTTATTATTTGAAATCTACTGTTAGTGTCATTTATTAATTTGTTTTGTGTCATTTCTGGTGAAAAATATTTTTTATTTTTATTTATTTATACAGGAACAAACAGTTATACAAAATTACATGAACAGAAAATCAAAGAAAAACAAGAATAAACCTATAGTTCCCTATATTACATTTGTTTTATTACTCGACTGTTTAAAAAAATATATATATCAAGGTGTAAAAGGTGTTAAGTACATTGACAAAATAAATAAATAGGTATGAAATAGGTATTTATATTATTATGAAATATTTTGGAAATACTAAATTACATGTATTACTCATCTTTTGTTTTAAAATAAACTACAAGTATATTTTATTTTCGAAAAATTAACTAGCGATTTAAAATATGAGAATTAAAATAACCGAAACGCGGATGACCATGACCGTGTATCGTGTGACGTCACTTTTCAATAAACTAAACGTCAACGTCTTGATTGCGAGTGTCTAGTTTATATGTTCGATTCGATGATTATTTACAGAATGTTATATATATTTTAAAGAAAATCCATTTCTACTGATGATATTCCTACTATATAATGCTATACAGATCATTACGAAATTTTGAAGCAATAAAACGAAAATCAATTTTCACGAAACTATTTCGGCTCAACCATTTTCCTAAAGACATGAAACAGTATCTCTGAGACACTGATTATGTCAACATCGAAGCTTTATCATATGCAGATGATGTCGACACTAGTTTCGCCATGTAAATAGAGGTGAAATTAATTGCGTGAAAGTAGTTTCACCAAAAATATGAGCATCGTACGAAACTAATTCTTGTCGTGAAACCAATGCATATATTGAGAAAGTGACGTTTGCATGTACAATTAAACTAGTTTCTTTAAACTACTTTCGCAATGAAAACTCGGCTTTATTGTATTTAATTATTACCTTCATAGAAGTCGTAGGTGCACATCGTTTTGCCAGTGACTGTGTCATACGGGTCCTCAGGATCAGCCAAACCCTTCAGCTCACGGACCAGTCTCTTATCAAATTTGGCCGGACGCTGAATGCTCTTGCCCAAAACTAACTGAAAGTGTTAAAAATATAATGATGAAATGAAAAACTATAGGTTTAATTATTCTTTTAGGATTCAGTAGATGTCGCCACTGTTCTAATTTATAGTTTTTTTTATTATAGAAATTTGTATCTTAAGTCCTTGAAATAATGTTTTATATTAATTATTTTTTTATTAATGTTGGTTCAAAACAATCTAGACAATTTTCAATTTCGACAAATAAATTAATTTCAGATACCACAATAATATACTGTATTTTTTCCTGTTATGATTATGGTGGTGGAAATTTCAAATAAATATATGACTATATCATAATAATTAATTAACACAAACTAATTTTTTATAATACTACGTGAAACTTTACATGTCAGAATTTACTTATTCATTGTTATTTTTGAAGATTCATTTGCAGGTTTTCCTCTTTTATCAATTATGACTAACATTAATATAGTAGTAATGTAATTTACTCTTAATTTAGTTATTTTTGAGCACCGAATGAGAACGCGAGGTAGCTAAAGGCGGGGTTGTACGAAATTAAAACTTTTTAAACATATTTTATTCTAAATATTTGCCGAACAAAAACATTTTACGAAAATTAACATATGCTCGATTGTTTGCTAAACACAGATAAATAAATTTAAATAACTTGAGGCTTGATAGAAAAAAATCGCAGTGAATACTCTGAATAGGTTTTTTTGAGTCGATGTTACGACTAATATATTTCATCTTAACTATATAAAAAAGATATACAAAAAATGGTTTTGAGATAATCTAAAATGATAAAAAAATATATATATATATATATATATATATATATATATATCTGCATTTGCTTTTTTCTGCGATTAAAAATGCAATAAATTGCAATTAAAATTTTTTGTAGTTTTTCCCAAAGGTTGACTGGGAGAGAATATTATTAGCACTAAGTCCACCTTTTGGCCGCCATTTTTAAAGTATCAGTAAAGCCCGATAAATAAATCAAGCGAGCGCGTCTTTTCTCTCTATACGTATTTGTAAGGGAACGTAAATAAAATCTGATAAACTTACCAACTCAAACACATTCCTAAGAGCACCATCAACTGCGTCATCTGATATTATAACAGTACCCCCCTCATAACCGATGCCACCGCACGTGCCGATCCTGAAGAACACGGGATCGTGGACTTTCGCGTGGTACATCAACTTTATGACCTCGTGCAGCAAAATACCCACTGACGGTATACCCATGCCATGCTGTAAAAAAAAAAAGATTTATAGAAACCTACCTTTATTTCATTAAAGTGGACTTCCATAGTTACGGAGTTATGCGATTTAAAAAAAAGTGTGACCCGCTATTTTGACCCTGATCTTATCACATATATTTAAAATACTATAGTTGCTATAGTATTATAAATAACAACAAACAATACTACTACAGTATAGCAGTATCGTTGTTTCTTTAAGTTCGACTATATAACCACTCTGCCACAATAACAGCAACCATAATTCATCAAATATAAAGGTTTACATATGCCTAAATACTTCATATGGTATAATCACTTTCCTTCCAACAACAAACAACTGTCGAACCGTAATATAATTTAAAGTCATCTGAGGAACGGAAATTCGGAGAATAGATATAAGCTTATGAATGATATCACAGAAATAAGAGGATCACAAAAAGTTAAATATATTAAAGCATGTATTCACTGAACCCTCCCCCCCCCCCCCTCCCCCTACTCTCGAACGCAATCGCGACCGATCGACATTGCAATTATGCCTATATACATATATTCTGTACTCTTGATTAGATACACTAGCGCCAGAGTATGCCAGTGAACCAATCAAGAGTGCGGAGCGGGACAATTACAGTGTCTATGCGTTTATATTACGATTGCGTTCGAGAGCAATGGGGAACATTTCGATAGAAAATTTTAGATATGTTGATTTAAATGAGAATTTATTAAAGCGAAAGTTACTCTACCTGTTACTCTTTCATGTCTAACCTACTAAACTGATATAAATAAAACTAAGTGCACACACTTATTATAGCGAAAAATGTAAAGAAGACATCTGCTTTCATAAAAACTTACGTAAGTTTGTATGAAAAATGTAAAGAAAAATTAAGTTTGTAGAAAAGGTTCATGTTACAAGTGTCACCACCCAAACCCCTATTACGTTTGTTCATCGTTTATGAGATATAGCAAATCTCAAGTGAATAGGAAGTTCAAACATAATTTTGTTGATCAAAGTGCACAGAGTCGATGTTTCTTCAATCAATCACTTCCGTTGTTTTTCTAGAACGCGCGCGGGGAAAATTTTATACGAACGTACGAAGAATACAGACGATCCATCACGCACTTTGTTGATATTCGGAACAATACTAATTAATAACCCCGCAAAAGCTCATCTATTAAATCTATGAAACAAGTGTGTGTTATTGGTATAGAACCTTATAAGTTTTATTACTTTTTTTTACTTTATGCTTTACTCTTTCTACATATTAAACAATATACTTGACATATTGGTATTTCCTTTTTTAAGATAAAAGAGATAAATAGATAAACTCTTTATTGCTCTCATACAGGCGTAATTCAGAAAAAATAATTAAGTAATTTGTAAGTATATTCAGTATTTTACATGACACAATGTTTCAACCCATACTTTCAAGTACCATGTTAGAAAACTAACAAAGAAATGATTGTACAAAAATCCAGAATAAACCTAAATCTATATAAAGAAGATTTTTTAATTTTTCGTAGCGTTTTTTCTAGCTTTAATTTGAGTTTGTTTTAACTCTATTCCTTCGTCATATGTAATCAAAGAGATGTAATTATACTAATATCTTTTTTCTAATGTCTCTGTAATTTGTCATGTCTAGCGTGTAATAAAGAATATTATTATTATTATTAATGTATACTAAAATATAATACGTTTACATCTTACGTTATCTTAGATATTTTCAGAATGAAACGCATTTTGACAGGGCTAAACCTAAATTAAGTCTATTTAATATGATTTTATTTATGATATTGGATCAATTTTGCATTCAAAACGCTATAGTAATAAATTTTTAATACAAAAATGCTTTAAAACATGCACCGGGGTACACCGAGATATGATAATAATTATAACATATTTTCATCTTAATCTGAAAGTTTAAAAAAATCTTTCGACTGTTTCGGTGGATTGCCAGAACATTAATGAAAATACGCTCACTATATAGTGGCGAAAACTACCAAGTGCTTGAAAAATTAGCCAAGACTGTTCGGTCTCTAGTAACCCAATGATCGCTAGGATTACGAAAAGTAGAGGGTGCGAATCCTATCTGGGGGTGCCTTTGAGCATTTTTCATTAAACGTATCTTTAATAAAAGACTCTTAAAAAAAAAACATTTCTCTATATATCATATTCTCTATCTCTATAGCTCTATTTTATTTTGAAAAAGGCTCACCAAGTTCACTTATTGAGCTCGTAAAATTATGATGTTGTACAATAGAAACTAGTTAGTACCTATTAATTTAGTACACATATCTATAAGTCACAATGTCTACAATCACATATGTCACAACGATTCGCCATTGTTAATCTATCTTAATTGAAACATTCGATCGCGGCCATCAAGGCCATATTGATTATAAAAATAACGTAGCCAGTGAGAAACAATCATTTGTGAATCAGTTTACCATCAATACAACTTGAAGCCGATAAAAACGGAGCATAATTGCAAAATGAATGTTACTTGACAACACTACGTTTTATTTAGCCAGAAACACAAAAACAATAATTAAACTCTGAAAATAATAAGAGATTAAAATTCGTAATCAAACTGTGACTCAATTACGTAATAAAAATAGTAAATAATTTCTATTAATATAAAAATAAACCGCCGATATTACACAATATCAAAGAAATTTCGTCCTTTACGACAAGTCTTTTATCAAAACATTTGACAGATTTATGTAAGAAGCAAAACTTTGTGTTAAATTTTCTGAAATTTCCGTGAATTTCGAACAATAATTAAATAACATCAAACAGATGGAGATCGCTAAGAAGCCTTTTCTCTTTCTTTTTTTCAACACAATATACTTTAAGATTATAATGTAATCACAAAATAGCCGGTCTTTTAAGGTAAAAGTATATCCTATTAGCATAATACGAATAGGTACACATAATATATTAACTAAAAAGGGTACCGATAGTAAAATAATTGCATATTGTATATTATAAAGTTTTGTTATTTGAGAAGCTCAATACGTGGTAAAAACATTAAAACTTTGCTCTCCGCTGCACTTGCAGTAGTTGCATCCTAAAATAGGCACTGTACGCGCGTAGTAGGCTCATTTTCATTAATATTAGAGTTCTCATTAACAGGCTGATGATGATGAGTTAACAATTAACAAATTCAAACTTACACTGATGCTCAACACAGGACCAACTTTGTACATAGAGTATCTATAGGAGAATTGACTGATGTCTTGCAATGTTGTGCCGCACGGCAGCTTATGTCCGATTTCTGCCATTATGTTATATGCGAACTGCTCCATACGTTTTGGTGTACCACCCATGCAGACAAACTGGAAAGAAGTTTTTATCATGTTACTTAAATATTGTGAGTATTTTATCTTTCTTGGGTCTGGTCTTTGCATATCTGGCGGAAGATGTCGTTTAGGGAACGGCAGAACTTATAAATAATTTAACTTTCAAACTCCACGAAAAAGACGACGTGAGTAAGAGACGCTGGACGAAATTACCATCAAATTTGAACCAATGAGCCTAAAGTACAAGTACAATATCAACTACAAAACAACAATCAATAATTCGTAACCTCTCTCAAAAAAGAAAAAAAAAGATAGTCGCTTTATTTTGTTAATTCGAAATTTAAATCATTACAATTCACCGCGCTTACTCCAAAATTCACGAAAGTGCTCTAAATAATATTAAAATTGCGCCATAATGATTAATAACATATACTTAGGTATTATTTCGAGGTACATAACAATATCCTCTGAATTTTAACAAAACAGAGCTTATTTCAATCATCGAACGTTCCTATTTATTTTTTGGACAATAGTGTACTCAATACAGAATTTTCAATAATCAGACAACAAATGTTCGTGTTTCGGAATAGACTAGTTATAAATGAAATCTTTACAAATATCAAAGCAAATTTGCTGAATTAGCATGTTTCGCATTTGAATTTGCTCCTTTGATTATTAAAACGAGATGATGAAGGCGTTTTATTTGTTGCATTGTTAAATTTACACCCCACACAAATTAGTGCTGGCCACAATTATTCAGTTGTAATAATTTGTATTAGTGTATGACACAAATACAATAAAATAGGACAGCTTTTAAAAATCTCAAAACTTGTAACAAGTTAACGTTAATTTATGGAGATGACATAATTTTATAGTCGCAATATCTACACTAAAATTTTAAATGGTTTGTTTGTTTAATTCTCCTTCTTTAACGTTATAACAAAACATTGATATAGTTGGGAGATTGTAGGGAGACTGACTTTTACAACCGGATTTCAGCACAAAAAGCTTTCAGTTGTTTGACCACGCTCGGCCAAACTTCGGATCTGGTTCCCTTATAAAATTATTTTATGGGTACTAATACTTTAAATATACCTTGACGTCACCAAACATCTCAACAAGGTCGTGGGATCCGCTCCCGAGTGCTAAATGGTAGAGTATATCCTGGTCCATGAGCTCGATATTCGGATTCCTGAGCCGCACCGATCCATCTGGATATCTGCACATGAATATGATAAAATCTCTTTATTACACAGCACATTACCAACGAAGGAAAGCCGAATAAACAAACAAGAACATAATGCACAACATCTCTTTGCATTTTCTACATAGTTAATGCATGAAATGTTTTTAATTTCATTAATTTGACGAGAAAAGAGAAAGACACATTTTGCAAAATGTTGCCTGTTAAAATACTTAAAATCCATTTGCTAGAAATAATCTCATCTAAAATGATTCTGAACAGAATTTAATCTGAAGCTACCGTTACAGTGAATAAGCAATAAAGGGAAAAGGTAAAAAGGATCTGAAATGAATCCCAAAATATTAAACGATGACACGCAATGAATTTAACTCAATCGTTACAAAACAATTACCATCGGAAAGATTTAAGCGTTCATAATAAGCTATAGACGCATTCCTAAGGCTTTAGCTAAAAGTCACTTATTACAAAATGAATCCAATTTTAAATTTAAGGTTATAGTACGTATCAAAGTCGCTCATTACGTAAGTGCACAAAGTTGTTATAAACACCATTTACATCATTTATTATATATAATTTTATTCATATAAAATTTTCGTTATGTTCATATATAGAATTGTAGACGCAGATTATATTCATATATAATCTGCGTCTACAATTCTTATATTCGCATTCGATTTACAATTCGTGGAGATATCTGTGAACATAAAAAAATAATACTTAAAGGTCAAACATATATATATGAAACCTGCTTTTCTACTTAGAAGTCGGTTAAAATAGAGCTATGTACATTCAATCAAATATATGATATTTGATTCCATTAATGAAATAAACGACAGGCGATATTCATTTATAGTTTTAACTCTAAACTTTAAACATGTTTATGTGACGTATATAAATTTAATATATTCACCTAAATATGTATATTAGGTACAAAAGTTAACCGGTATTAAAAAACGCATAATTATGTGTCTTTGTCAACAACAAAGTGATTATTTAAAGTTTCCGACAATGCATCTTTCGCAGAATTAAGATAAAAGAGAGTATTTAACAAAAACTTAGTCCTTTGAATCAGAACCTGCAGAAGACAAAATTATTACTTTATGTTGTCGTAATCCAGAGATAATCCATATTTTTAACAAAAACTTGTACTAGTTGCGATAAAACTCATCTGTTATGATATTTGCATTTAAACTGTCGAACAATATGTCACAGCATATAAATTTTCTAATTAATTTCATAACAAAATTTCAAGGCGAATATAGCCGAAAGATAAAAAAAAATATTCAATTCATTGGACACTTAAATTGAATTATTTTTATCTTGGAATATGTGCAATGTTGTCTAATAATAGTAGTAATAATAGTCTAATAATTTTAAATAACAAAATCATATAGTTTTTCTCCTAAGGCTAAAAAAATATATTTAATACTCTTTGCTGGATTTGAATATACTACGAAACTTCTGGACCGATTATAAAATTGTTTCAGCTACGGGAAGCTACATCATACAATAAAATTAAAATAATAATAAGCTTACTCATACTTCAAGAATTTAATATTTTTTCTAATGTTTTAATAAAAAGACATAAACTAGCTGCATACTATAATTGATTTAAATTATTAAAAACAGTTTTTAAAACAACGAAAAACAGTTGACTGTGTTTTTAATATTTTCATTTGTTATGTAAGGAAGAAATGATTACTAAACATATTTTAACAGGATTTAAATCAACTATTAAAAGAATATAAATGCTCGTACGGAGCGAACGGAATAGTTTGACGAACATTATAACTACTGGGATAAACTAACAAGTTTAATTTTCTAATTAAAATTAGGAAGTTTCGTACACCGTCTCTTTTCAGCTCCAATTTTATTCAAAAGTGACGCAAGAATGAGAAGCTATACATATAGGACAGGTAAGCGATCGATAAGGCTCCCAAAAATCTGTATGGTGTTTCTTACAAACTAGTAATTGATGCAGGTTTTGTAGCCCTGATAATCTATACTAGGACACTTCCTGTTGACCTAGGATTGTCAATTTTGGCAAGTATCTAACAATGCCTTAAGCACAACTATAATGTTTCCGGAAGTATAATTCACGTTCATAAATATTTTAAAATGTGTCATTTGATAAAAAATAACACTAATGAGTTGTTATTTTTATGAAAGATATAATTCTCTGGATTTTACGATAATTTTGTCAAAATTATAATATCCTGAAGAAGAAGAAGAATCAATCCAGTCCAACCTACGATTGCTGAAAGAAATTGCTTTTTAACAGTAGGACCGTCGAGTCTACAGTATTTTTGTAATTATACCTATTCAAGTTTTCTTTGTGGTGTAATAAAGTTTTCTTCACACATTCAATATAATTTCGAAACCCCTAAAGTTCTCAAGGATAAAAAAAATGTACAGTAATAATAATTGACCTGTGATAAAAAAATGGGTTTAATCGTTTTTTTTTTCAAATATTTTATTGACCAATTTTCATAAATCACATCGCATATCGTAATTCTCATTCCGGTTTACACAGGGGCATGTTTGATTAAACTTTTGAAAACTTATAAAAATGTAATTATTACAACTAATAAAAATATAAACATAAAGGCTGAATTCCACCATATAAAAGTTTAAGTTAAATATTAATAAAATTTTAAAAAATTAAAATATTTTATTTCAAGACCAGAATGTTGTAAACATTTGTAATGGACTATTTCTTTTAGATATTTACGTCAAATTTGACGGTAACTTGACAATTAGGTAATTGTCCGCATGACCGATAACTTTAACATTGACTGTGGGGTCGCTGGTTTCCCTTCAAAACGCATACGAACATCCTCTTTCTTGGCATAGTAAAGCAATAACCTCCAAAATTCTTGTGAGTTTATGTATACTAACCCAATAATAATAAAAAAGAAAAAATTGTAATTACATGAAATTAGGATAACATACAGGAAAAAAAGTGTAATCAGTGCACAAAGCTTAAAGGTGTGTTGTTTTTCTTTCGCTATCTTTAGTTAACCTGATAATAACATCGCACATGAAAAGAAAGAATATGTTTATGAATATGTTGCTATTGATATATGAACTCTAAGGTTGTTAACCAATTTTTATAAATATACCTACATACAATTTGTTTACTGCTATTATGATATTTTTTAAGAAATATTACATTAATAATTATAAATATTTAAATATAAAAAAATCTTTGTCGTTATTAAAATAAATATATTTTGTACGTAAAATATTTTTCAATGCAGTTGCTCATAAAGCGCTATTTTTTTAATCCATTGTAAACACCGAAAGTGAGTTTTTAAACACGTTTTAAATAAAAATTTACTGAAATTCTTAACTGCTTAAAAGTATTTTATTTTTGGCCGAGCACCAAAGAAATTTAAAAAAAATTGATGAAAATATGTCAAACTTTAGAGGCCTTCAATATGATTTCAAGGAGCCTAGAACGAATATTTTCAAATAAAAATGTATGACACGAAAACATGTTCAAATATCACGTTTAATTTTAACAAATAATTTTTACCTTCAATACATACTTAGTTTTATTAACCTATATATTTGTATTATTTCCTCTCAAAAAGCATTGAAAAATGTTGTAAGAAACTTGAGCGTAAAAGGTTTTTCGAATTCGTGCCAATGAAAACCCTCGCTACGCTCGTGTTTTCAATTTGGCCCTTATTCGTAAAACCTTACTTTCCGCACTCGTTTCTTAAATAACTATTAAAATATTCTTCGTAGCCTAGCGACATTAAAACAGTTTTAAAAACAAGGAATAGAATTGTGCACTGATAACAAATATTTCTTTTATAATAAAGATATTAAATTATTTCAACAAAACCAAAAAAATTAGATAAAAGAAAAATGACAAAATTAACCTAACGGTTTCGTCACCAGCGACACAGTCTTCTTCTTCGTACCGATCATCATTGTCGAATGTCTTTCTGTGAGGATGGTGATGACCATTATGCTCGGTATTCTCCTTCCGAAGATGAAACTCGCACCCGTTGTGTGGATGTGGTATACCATTCATTTCAACTTTACAGTTACAAGGCATCTTCTGAACTTCTGTGTCAAACATAAATATGTATAAAAAAAATAAAAAATACGTTTAAAAATCCAAAAATAAACATATAGATCCAATAAATATCCTTCCGTAAAAACCTAAATTATCACTACACTTAATGATGTTAATTTTTCTTAAAAAACTATAATAAAAAAATAAATGTAAGTAACATGCCACTGATAATAACATAAAAAAACTGTTGTGGCATACGACTACTCTGTCCTTTGGTCATCGCTATTATTTTATAGCTATCGCTCTAAAATAAATTTATTGTTTCAAACTTTTTCGAACGTGATTTAGCTGTAGTCGGGTTTAGTTTTTGAACTTATTTTCTTTAAATGCTTTAATATAACATGTCACTTTATTGTACTGTCTGTATCAAAATAATAAGAGAAAAAGAAACATCAACCAAGAACATTTTCATCGAAAACAAAAATTGCATCTCGTGTAAAGCCAAGTATCTAAATATACTCGCCCTAACTCTACTAGCTCTAACTTCACATACTGTACACCTTATTTAAAGAATATGGCGCGACCGTTTAGTTAATATGAATAATTATTATGATAGTTCAAAAAGAAGGAACTAAGCACTTCGAGAAAAGGCCTTTGAGCTTCGTTTGACTCGTCTTGGCGGCTCACTACGATGACCCCAAATAATATGTGTAAATATTTGCCCTTTCAATTGCGTATTAAACTATAAAATAAATTAATGTCACTGCTAAATATTAACTTATTAACAACAATAAATTAGTAAAGTCAATTTCGTATACATTTTTTAATGTCATTAATAATCTATCTATAATATTAATTTATATATATCAACTGTTTTGTTGATTATCTATCAGTGACCTGTTGATTAAATGCGTAAATCTAAAGTAAATAAGACGAAAATTACATGATAATGTTAATCACAAGTATTCCTCACATTACTGAAAGGTTATCACAACTCAATAGAACATTATTTAAGTATCTAAAAAAACGGGCTTAGTGCAAGTCGAACTCGCGCACGAAGAGTTCCGTATTATCCATAAAAAAGGCCAAGAAATCACGTTTGTTGTATGGGTACCCTTTATTATTTATTTTATTCAGAGTTTAGTATCTGTTGTTATAGCGGCAACAGTAATTAAATCATCATATGTAAAAATTTCAAGTAGCTCGGTGGCGTAGTGGATAAGCGCCGCGGTCCGCGATCGTTGTCGTTAAGCAACTTTCGCAAGGGTCGGTCACGGGATGGGTGACCAAAAAATTATTATATCGAGCTACTCCGTGCTTCGGAACGCACGTTAAGCCGTTGGTCCCGGCTGCATTAGCAGTCGTTAATACCCTCCAATTCGCATTGGGCCAGCGTGGAGGGTCATGGCCCATCCTTTTTTTTGATATACAGATTGGCCCGTAAAAGGGCTGATGATGTGTAAAATTTTCAAGTACTAGGTGTAACCCATATCAAGTATACCCATAGTTCATGAGTTATAGCCGAAACAGACGGACGGACTGCGGAGTCTCGGTAATAGAGCCCCTCTTACTTATAGATTCTTACCATTTAGGTACGGAACCCTAAAAATATGATCACAAATGGGTTGATTTTGTTATATGTTTGATCACAATATAAGCTACGGACACACATAAGGTTTGTTTTCAAACATTAGCGATTTCAAGGTCAACATTTATGATGCGTATAAAATGTATATTACTAACCTACTGTTTTTGCTAATGCTTTATTATTATTAGTCATTTTCATTAATCTTTATATGTTTACAGATTAATTTTTAATGTGACTACACTGATAAGATATAGCTTTCTCATGCAAGAGAGTTAAAAATAATATTAATAAACAGCTGAGGCATTCCATTTTATATTATCTAATATCATATTTCCTGTATTTATGTACTATATTCGCGAGTACATAGTTTTAATTTTAAACTTCACTTTGAAATTAGATATTAAGGTTAAAAAGAAACCGTTTAAGAAATTTGACAATACTAGACACACTGCATTTTTATCTTATATTATATATAAGACACGGTGTAGTGTCTCTATGCAATTACAGAGATTGATTCTGTGATACCTCATAAAACACGTGATATTAAAAATTCAGATCACTTGAAAAGATATAACAAATATATGTAAATTATTTGAAATAAAAAATCCCATATTAATTAGTCTGGTTCTACATATAATATTAATAAAGTAAAAAATAAACTTACATACGTATACACTTGAAAAAAATATTTTTTTAATTGCAAATGCACCACTAGAGCACTATATCCACTGTGTGAGTACTGTCAGGTCAGCTTTCCAATGACGAATAGTTCTCAACGATCAACTCGCGTTACAATCCGCGAACCCCTACAAAAACATCCATTCGACACAGACTCTATACACTGAATGGCAACCACTATCACTTGCAAATAAGAACCCAACTAAAACAGAAATGTTCTTGGAACGCTACTGAATTAACACAAACTGAGAACGGACAAGAATTTATTATCGTTACTGATTAAAGTTCTTGATGCACACAAGCAACGCCGACGCTCAAATTGCCATGGTCATATGCAAAAAAAAACATGCGAGTTTTACTGGTTTCATTCTGCTGTTGAGGGGTCTTTGTTTCTTTTGAACTTTCGTTATTATTTCTTTTTTCATACCAAACTGGTCCAAATATAACAATGTAAAAGTATTTGAAGGGTCGGTGTTGTATCGGAAGCGGTCAAATACAAAAAAAAACTCGTTCGAGACTCGTCTTACTGGCTTTACTCACGCATTTGGAGATCCCCAATTTGCTTCTTTGAATCTTTCTATAGCTTGTTGCAAATGAATTTGAGGGGTTATATTTGTATAGCAAACATATAGTCAGTCCTTCAAAAAACCTTAAAGGTTACCAGGTGATACGATTTTTTGTTGAATGTCAGCATCCGATAACGATATCCAACAGTTATTGATTAATTAGCGTAACGTATCGACCTTGTATCATGCAATATACATTTCGTATCGTTGTTTAATTTACATGTAAAAACTATAAATACTTAAAGATTTATTCGTGAACTGATAGGGTATCTTTATGACTTTCACATTAATCATTGATAGTTATTATTGTCTTTGATCTTGAATGAGGTCATATTTTACGTAAGTAATAGAAAAAAGTAACCAAATGTGGAATTAACTATAGGGAATACCGAAATTCCTTCCCAGATTATTCTTTACTAATAGATTTCGAAATAAGCCAAGCAGATCTGCAGGAACTGCGCAAATTTGCTGCGCTAATTGAAATTACGATTTTGTCTAAATTAAGAACACTTTAAGAAGAAATTTAAGTTCTATCTACTTATTCTATATTAGAGATGCTCTTAAATGATAGGTACTATTCTACATAAGGTTGCTTTCCTCTATTTCCACTTTTGAATAATTATTCCATTTTCAATAACAGTTATTTTAGTTTCATATTTAATAACATGATAGTAATTAGGTATATTAATAATACGCACTTAAGGCCAACATATTTAATTTTTATAAACTGGACGACGGATGGTAAATTATCACCCTAACCAGTGAACCAAAGCCCCTTTTGATTCGCGAAAGCGTTAGAATATTAATCTGGGTCTGTCCCATTCTCAACTCTACAAAGTTGACCAGTCGACAGTCAAAATATAATATTTGTTATATATATAAACTATTATTTTATTATATAGGTATTGTTAATAACTATTGTTGCAGCTTAGGTAGGTAATCAGCGATTCTAATCGATAAACATTTGAATGCATATTTATTTCTTCCATTTATGGATTAAGTAACACTATGAATAAATACTGGTAGGTATCATTTTTACTTAACAGACCGTGACCATTTTCCGCTATACAGCTCATAATGTATGATTGCAATAAATACATAAAATAGTATATTTTGTGGATACTATTGTGTAATATGACAAAGGTCACGAAAATGTATTGTTAATCTGCTGCCTCAGCTTGTATATGTTTACATTATAACAACATATTTTTTTGTTATTTTTAATGTAATAGATAGTGACGTCATAGCCTTTATTTAACATGCTTTTATTATTCAATTGGACTTCCCTGTGCGAAATAGAACAGAGAGGAAACAAATCTGCAGGCTAATTCTGCTAATGTTTACGTAATATTCTTATATATCTGCCACCATTGATGTGCGAGAAAGATATAGCACCGACAATATCGGACTTTAGGTTGATAGTACAATGGTAAAATGCAAGTAGCTCAGATTCTATTGAGGTGCTATTATTACTTAAACATTAGCAGAATTGTCCTACAGCTCTGCGACTCTGTAAAAATGCAGACCCGAATTAGAATTCACTCGTGTGTCCTAATTCACGTCATTTAGTGTAGACATTGTATTAATTCCAATTTTTATGTAAAAATACAAAAAAGAATTGATTGGATATACATATCTCAGATATTCTATTCCTATGTAATTTCGAAACTCACTTCACCTATTCCACAAAACGTTATTACCAATTCAAGGTTAATCGGATGCCGCTTTTTAATGTGAAACACCTGAGTGAATTCGAATTCGGGTTTGAATTTTTACAGAATCGCAGGGCAGTTCTTTTTTGAGTTTCTTGTCAGCTCTCCTTTTTTACAAAATCACCCGACATAGATTTGCGAATCGATAGTATAATACGTCGACATTTACAAGTGCTTGTAACAGCTAAATTGAATAAATTTGAGTTTGAGTTTTAGATTTGGCTATTCCTAGCAATTTTTGTAACATAAGACAAAGCTAGTTTTGTTATATTTAAGAAATGTCTTTAAGATATGTCTCAAATATAACAAAACTAGCTAGGTTTAGGGATATGTCCCTAAACATAGTGCATTTAAAGTTTCTTTGTAATTTAGATAACTTCTATTAAGATGACAATGACCTTCCTCTAGACAGAAAGGTCGTTACTGGTCTACGTTTTTTGTTTGACTGTTGCTTCATTTAATACAATGAAACAATCAAAACTCTTTATGATTGGTACATAGTGTACAAAAAATTTGAACATGATTTTTCCAATTTCCAAACCGCAAAGACGTATTAACAAGAAAACTTGATTTTAACATTGATTTGAAACTTATAGTTACTCTAACGAAATCCTTTCGAGCGTCTAGTGGAGCTCATCGCCTACAAATGCTCTTAATTTATTTACTTCTCATATAAAACTATTTAAAAATTACATTATATAGGTGTCATATAACTTTGGTATTGACCTATTATAAATAAAATTATTATTTCATGCGTGGTAATTGTCCAAATTCCCCTCTATCAAATAATTATAGCGTGAAGTTTGTGAATATCTTTCAAATGTCAAATTTAAAGGCATTGCGATAGATTTTATTTTAATTTTAATATTTTAAACACCGAAATCAAAAACCATGGTAGATGTCACCACCGGCACCTGCTCGCACGAACTACTCGTAAGAACCTATATTATTTTTATGGGTTATTGTATTGTTTCTGGTAGTCGCCTTTTATGGCGTCGTCATTTGTTTTATACATAGCCATTAACGTTTTCATTTGAATATAAGTAAATTTTTGATACACAGATTGTAATTCTATTTCAACGAGACAAATTCATAATTTTTGTAATAAATAAATTCGTGTGTAAATCTCAATTGAACATAGTATTATATCAATTTTGCATTCATAAATAGATATTACAGTTTTTTTTTTAATTCACCGGTCATCCCTTTACACGGGTCCTGAGACTACTTTTTCTTTTTATTGTAAAGATAACGAACATATGTAATTATCTTGTAATGTTCTAAATTTAAAATTTGTACCAACAATGTCGTTTCAAACTATTGATAATTATAATTGACGTTTGTGCAACTCGTACCATTTACAAACGTGTTTTAACGTCATAGGTCGTACCATAAACACAATTTTTATTTTAAATAAAATGGACTTCAATAACTTGAAAATAATACCTACTAGTTGCCTACTAGTCTTAAAGGCGGTTTTTGTGTTCATGAAAATTCTATTAGCAAAATACGCGATCTTTTGTTTTCTTTGATGAATGTCTAACATTTTTTTTTGTTATTTGGAAAAATGCTTTCAAATAAAAATAAAATAGTTTTGAAATACGGCACTGCAGTTCGAGGTGGATGGATATGCTCGAATAAAAATAATACATACCCGTCAAACATAAAAAACCTTTTCGATTTTAGAGTCTGTTAAAAATACCTATCCTATAATAAGATTTATTACCAAATAGTATCTTTGCGATTCGATAATCGGTTTCCCTGTACAGTAACATTTAGGTACTCTTAATTTATTAACGAATGATGCACATTAAAGAAATCTGTGCTAACTAAAATTATATTATACACCATTTTCTTGTGTGTTGCCATCATGATTCATGACGTGACGAACCGACTTACTTCATCTCAAATAATCTTTACGGTCGATGACTTCCTTTTTTATTGCATTACTTAGAATACTTTGTGTTCTTCCACCTTACATAGATTCTATAGATATTAAACTATGTAGCTTGTGCTCTAATCAATAATTTGTTAAAAAGAAATCGCTGTTTTGTCACAAGGCCACTTGTTGAACAATATCTTTTCTCCTATTTCATGTTTTACATTATTTTTTGCCAGTAAAAAACTGTTGCTTTAAAAAGAAGACAAGGACAGATCATTATTAAATCAAACAAAAAACTATAACTTGTATTTGGCAATCTTGTTAACTCATCTCGCGTTATAATCAAATATGAAAAATAAATCTCATGTTATATTTTTAAACGATGAGTTTGATTAAGAAAGCGCAGAGACCTCCCATTTGAACAATTGATTTAAAATATCACATAATAGAAAAAACATTCCCTGAAAGAAAGGATAGATAAAAAAAGATAAAAATATAGTTTATACATATGCTAAACCCTAAACAGATCGGCCAGGTCTCCGATCTTAATTTTTGCATCTAAACATTAAATTACCAAATTGTGACATTCCGATTTGTAGTGATGTATGCTTTTCGTTAAGGAAATAGAGACTAAAAAGTAAAAACCTACGCAAGGTGATGCATTCGTATAATAAGAATGAAAACATAACACATTTGTATAATATCTATCTTCATAATGGAGTAAAGAATCATACAGCATGTGTTAATCGATTCCTTACAAACCTGAAGGGTATTATGTATTTACCTTCATATATTTTATGTATGAAGGTAAATACCATGATATAGCATTATAAAGAATGGGTGTTAGTTACATTATTTACTTAAACACAGAAATAATAGAAATGAGAAATGTAGGTTAACGTAACGACACGGGGAGGTTGTATCAAGTTCACCTAGTTTTGAATATTGGGTCACATAGTTGTTTACAAAGGTAACATATATGTCAAATGAATTCATTTGAATTTTAACGAATCCAAACACTTTCCTTCAA